GGGATTTAGCTCAGTGGTTTCACCGCCTGCTGCACAAGCTCAAGGACCCGAGTTCGATCCCCGGTACCAAAAAAAAAAAATTTCAGTTCAGTTCAAGAAAATTCATGTGATTTTAATAAAGCATCTTGAAATAGTTCGCTACTGATGAGGCAGATGAAAAGATAAAATAATGTACTTTTCTGATACAGTAGTGCAGCAGGATTGTGGAGATGATGTACCACCATCACAAAATATACATTGGTGTACTTCGCCAGACACAACAGTCATTTGATGATGTCACAAAATGCATAAGTTTTGTACAACATAGGAGTTCATGGAGAAATTTAATCCTGGAAAACACAATAGTGGAATTGGTCTACTTTGGACTTATCTTTGGCGCTGGCGGTTCATTTTACCTTTTGTTAGTCTAGGTTTGCTGTGCTTTGGGGCTTTACTTGGACTCTGTGCTTGTATCTGCCAAAGCTTCTATCCCCCTTTGCTATGGGCATTCTTCATCCTCTCCCAGGCCTGTGTTCACTGTGCTTGGTAAGTTATGTTGCTGGAATTGAGCTGCTCCCCCAGAAACTAGAGCTGCCTGTACCTGGTGAATTTGGGTGATCCTTTTAATATTTTTATAATTTACTTTGTCGGGCCAGGGATTTAGCTCAGTGGTGCTGCACCTCCCTCGCAAGCACAAAGTCCTGAGTTCAATCCCCACTACCTAAATAAATAAATAAATAAAATAATTTCCTTTGTCTCTCAGTTGCTTTAAATTTAATTTTTATTTTTCTATGGATATATCATTTTATCTTGAAAATCCATTTTACTTATATACACACAACTAAATGCATGCTTAACCACACTAAAATTGATGTGGTTTACTGTGAGTGACGATCTTTCAGATAAACCATCAGGTTCAAAGTGTAGAGAGAGAAAAATGTGTAGTGACTCTACACATCTGTGAAAGCACACTGGAAGTGGGAAACTGACCCAGAACAAGTTCCACTGATGTCTGTTTGAGACTTCCCAGTAAAAGCAAAGTGACTCCCATCTTGTTGAACTAGAAGCTTTAATTTGAGGGGGAAACCTCTTCCTTATCCTTTGTCAAAACCTCATACTCACTTTTCTTTTGTAGACAATCAGTGGTATTATGTGCTACTTTCAAAGACTTATGCTCCATAAAATTGGGAAGTTCTTTTCCCCTAAACATTGGCACATAGTTTCATCTGAGTGAAGTATTGCAGCTGTTTGTATCTACAGTATATCTCTTTACAAGAAAACAAGTGAAAAAAGTGTTTGCTTGAAACTTTAATTTTTTTTTTCCTTGGGTACCAGGGATCAAACTCAGGACCTTGTGCTTGTGAGGTAGACGCTGTGCCATGGAGCTAAATCCCCAGCCCTGAAACTTTAATTTTGTAACTGCAAAAATTCCAATTCATCTAGACAGGTGGGTTACTCGTTTTACCTTTTTTTAACCCATTACGATTTTCAGTACCATCAAACCATTTTGAATTTTTGCTCCTTCTCTCTTCACAGACCAGGTTTATTAAAAGAATGCTTTCTTGGGCCGGGGAATTAGCTCAGTGTTTTCGCCACCTGCTGCGCAAGTGCAAGGACCGAGTTTGATCCCCGGTAACAAAAAGAAAGTGCTTTCTCTTTAAGGGAGCACCGAGTAAAATTCTCCAACTGCTTTCTGTTATTCCAATTAAGTACAGTATCACAAAGAAAGTTCCAGCGTAATGACCCCTTAAAGTATCAGTAATTTCTTACTATATCCCAAATCAATCTTTTTTACAAAATAAAAATGACAAGAGACAAAAAATAAAAAAGGAAGAAAGGAGAAGAGAAAAGGGGCTGGGCCTGCAGCTTAGTAGCCCCAGGGGTTCGGTCTCCAACACTTACACACATACATGTGTACATTATATTAATGATATGGTGAGAAAGTCTAAGATTAGATCATTAGAATGAAAAGAATATAACAGGCAAGTTTGTAGGGATGGGCAGACACCAACTTACAACATTAAGAATCTAAAATATCCCAAATAGGATTTTTAGGGCCGGGGATTTAGCTCAGTGGTGCCGCAAGTGCTTGCTTCACAAGTGCAAGGTCCCAAGTTCGATCCTTGGTACCAAAAGGAGAGAAGCCAAATAGGATTTTTTAAAATCCACTTGTGGGTAAACATAAATTATGCCACATCAAAGACAAAAATAGGAAGAAATTCTGATTGCTTTTTTTTTTTTTTTGGTACTGGGGACTGAACTCGGGTCCTTGTGCTTGCAAGGCAGGTGGCGAAACCACTGAGCTAAATCCTTGGCCCTCTGATTACTCTTAAAGGGTCTGCTTTTTATCAGTGACAATAGAAAACAAGACAGGGAAAGATTATCTTTAAAAAATGCTGAGAGAAAACTGCCAAATCAGAATTTTCATCTAACAAAAATACCTTCCTAGACAGAGAAGACAGTTTTGGCATGGTACAGGCCTGTAAACCCAGCACTGGGAAGTTGAGACAGAAGGATCACAAGTTCAGACCCAGCCCAGGCAATTTAGTGACTTAGACCCTGTCTCAAGGCTTAAGTCTGGGGATGTACCTCCATGCAGAGACCCTGGTTGGTTCCATCCCCAGTACAGAGAGGAGAAAGGAGAGGGGGTGCACTGGGGCACACCTGTAACCCCAGCGCTTGGCAGACTGAAGCAGGGTTGCCTAGAGTATGAGGCCAGCCTGGACTGCATAGCAAGACCAAGTCTCAAAAAGAAAAAAAGGGAAAAGAAACATCACACAAAGTCTGAGTGCTTCCAGTGAACCTTTGCTAAGGGGAATTCTAAAGGATGTACTTCAAGCAGAAAAGAAAATATTCCAGGTGAAAGGAAAGATATGGATAATAGCAAATACATGAAAAAAAGATAAATATAAAATGTATAAACCAATAATAATGTCTTCTGTGGTATTTTTTGTTTAGTGGTGCTGGGGATCAGACTGAACTCATGGTCTGACACATGCTAGACAAGCAATTTACCACTGAGCTACACCTCTAGGATATTGTAAGGATTTTTTAATGGAATTATACAAACAAATACAAATTGGGAGGATGTGAATGGAATCAAAGTGTTCCAGGGTGTTTATTATGCTTGCAGTGAAGGTAAAGAAAGTGGTTGGGTTAGAGAGTGAGAAGTCAGGAGCGCATTTGAGAAGAGAGGTGAAGCACACAGATTTTATTTTTAAATATTTTGGCATGTAGCAGGGTAAGGACCTCTAGAAATCTTTTTAGCAAAAAATAAGAAAACACTGGCAAAAGTTGTGAAAATCAGCTCTTTTAGAACTCTGGAAATTAACCAATAGTTTGCAGAAAATCTGAGAAACATTACTCAAGAAAAACAGTTAAACGAAATGAAGAACAGTAAGGTTTGTGGACTTTAACTTGACCGGACTCCCCACTTCTGACCTCTTCAGTAGCTTTGAAAACAAACAGCGTCACCATGATGTAGCTGTAAAAACCAAGAGCCTAACAGTCTCTTCAGGAAATAGGATAGCTACAACCACCCACTCCCCCAAAATCCCAAGACAAGTCACTGTTTGAACTGTCTTGCAACTCCCTAGGAAAAGCTCCATTCTGAGATCTTGTCATTATTTGACCTGGGTCAGCATTTACTCTGTGCAAATAACTCTATTCCCAAGGTTTTTATCAAAAACAAACAGCAGCATTTATTTTAAAAAATCACAGCTGCCTGAGGGAATGAAAGCATTTAGCCCTAACAAGCTTACTAAAAAAAAAAGAACCTGGGGATAATGAATCCAGGTACATTTTTCTAAAAGCTGTCGTATTATTTTCGGGGAAAATAAAAACATGCACGTATGTACCAGACCTGACTTCTCACCTATAACTAATCTTGAGGACCCATC